AATTATCCTTTATGAACTTCAAGTTCATATTATCTTATTCGAGGATCTAGATGTACAAATGATAATTCATTACACGTAACTTTTTCTCAACTGTTGTATCTTGCCTCCCCCTCATGTTAGAAAAACTAACTTGTTTCCTCAACTTTGAGAATCCACCTTTGTGCGTTATGGTGTTAATCAAAATATACACCGCACATCAATAATAATAAGATGGAATTATTTAGTTCCTGACCCTGAACCACTTGTGAGGGGAGAAAATAATATACGTTGGTATATAACGTATATCAAACTGATATAGATAACTTTGTTCTCATAAGCAATCGTTTAGCTATTAAGTGGAGGCACTCAATGAATCATTTTTCTAAACCAACTGTGATGTAAACCAACTTATCAAGATGAACTATCTTGAATAAAAAATCTGGAAATTATGCTCTAAATTAAATTATTGAGCAAGTTACCTCGCAAACACCATGTTGCGGGTTATTAATAACCGCACATGTAATCATCTCATAGATGCATCTAATATGGTATACATGGCAGATGAATGGGCCCATATTCACCTTTGATATTTCCAGCATTCATGGGATTCAATCCCAATTTTAGTTGGTCTATTAATTAATGAGAACAAGAAATGTAAGAGAATTCGTAAAGAACTTTCTAGTTCTTTAATATTTACCCATGTGAATTCTCTTTTATTTTTGCACATCATACTTGAATTAACATGGCTAAACCAATTATGCCAACTGGATAAATTATCAATATTGATAAACTTCAGGTTTACACCATGATGTGTGCAATTATGAATAAACTCCAAGTTTATTATGATATGAGTTTTTATATCAATAAATATCCACTTCATTGTGGTATTCTTTTGTTTATGTAGTACAAATTGGAGAATAAAGCGGGTAGCTTTTCACATACATATTACCCCGCTACAAGTTGTAGTAATAGAAGATATTAAATCTTTTCTTTATTTATAGTCTCAATATAATCAACCGCTTTCGCGTATACTTTGGAAACTGAATAAGTTTCTTTGAGACTTACTACAACACAATACCTTATTGGTAATTAATTGTGTTTCTCCAAAATAGTATAATTGGCTCTTGCAGAGTTCTCAATTAATTTTGTAGTACCACATATTCATCAACACCCATATGGTGAATATCTCTTTTAAAGAGAAAGTTATACCATTATGGTTATGGTCAAAATTATATGCAAGATCTGTTTCTTGCATTACCGTTGTCTTTTAACAATCACAATGCCAAAATATTTTGGCGTACAATAGGTACGTGACCAATGACCATTCATGCCATAATAATGACATTATTTTCTTATATCATCTCAAACCTCCTTTTAGAGGTGAGTGCGGTATATTCACTACCACTAGCACGTTCATATTCTTTGAAGAATGAATATGTATTCATAAATTAGATGTTGTCACATTCACATCATGAATGGACCATGATCATCTATATGTGCTTTACAAAATTTCATGTTAAATTGATGACAAATATTTTTCACAGGGTGAAAGATTATTTTGAGAATCCTTATTGTTCTCATTACCACAACTGATGACGATTATAATTTCGTCTATTGCCACGTCCACATCCATTGATACCTTCACGGTAATAATTTTGTCTTCTTTCAGACTTATTACATATTGCTATCACATTCTGTTAAGGGAATGAGAATGGAGCAAATTCAATGGGACGGGTTTTCACTTCTTGTCGACAATCATACATGAATTTGATCATGGCGAGGCATATAAATTTTACCACTTCAGGTGGTTAAAACTCCATTAGAGTTATACTCAAACTTTGTTGTCTTTGCTTGTATTTAAAATCAAAGTACAGAATAAAAGAGAAAAATACAGTAAAATACTTACCTTAAATTCATAATTTAATCATGAAGGAAGTTCATGGAATAATTGACAATCATTATGCTCAATCCCAAAGCTTCTACTCAATTGTTTAGAGTTTCGTGCTGATAACGTGTGATAAAATAATAAAAGAAGAAGAAGAGTAGTGTAGAGAAAAGTAGAGAGAGAGAATTCTTATTGATTTGGGATAATTTACAATGGAATAGGACCCCTCTATTTATAGGGAGAGGGTGACTTAGCCACCAAGTAATAAACCCTAGAATCTCTCTAAATATAAACATTCACCATAAATAAAATTCTATTTTATAACATTGCCTGATTTTTTTCTATTCTGATTGTAAATGGCATAAGAGACACTAATAATTTCCTCCCGTATGAATAACTAAATCTTATCCTCCATTTCTTGGATTTCATTCAGAATTTTTTCCTTAAATTTCTCTAGAGGCAAATTACGGATTTGGGAGACTCTATCCAGAGACGGAGCTAAAATTTGAAGGTTATGGGTTCTCATCTTATCACAGAACCCTAGGTCATTGTAGTTACTGGATTCACAATTAAATATTTTTATATATTTAATAAATTTCCTAATACAAATACAAGGTTTAAGCAAAAATTACTGGATTCGTTGAGCCCGTAGCTACTACACTATCTCCGCCCTTGGCTCTTTCTCGAGCCTTGAAAACACTCCTTACTTTTTAATTTCTACATGTTCCTTTTTTTTTTACTTCTGATTTGCATGGTCAAACAAAGTTTTTTTTTTCTTCTAATGATAGTCTATCAGTAAAGTTAGTATGTAGGCTTGATTGGTTATGAAACGTCTTTAAATTTCTCAAGGGCAAGCTCATAGTTTATTACAACTACTGGATCAAATTGCCTTTCAACTATGAGCTAATTAATTTTGCGATTTTATCCACATTAATCAAAGTTTTACAAGAAAAGGAAAAATTAAAATTATATTCGAATAGTTATATCTTAAATTTATGTATTTAGTGGCAAACTTTTTGTAAAAACCTTAACGTGGGTCAATTCCAGTTATTTTTTGTAATGATGATAACCTTGTAATAACTGAGTTATCTGAGCACAAGCCTCCCTGAATGTCTTAGGACCCGTTTGGCCATTTTTTTTAATTTTTTTTTTTACTTTTTTGGATTTTTTTTACTTCTTTCGGAATCAGTGTTTGACCATGAAAATTTTCAATTTTACTTGAAGTTGAATTTCAGAATTTTTCGTAAATTTGAGAAACTTCAAAAAGATGTTTTTCAAATATTCAATTTAGATAACCAAAAAAAAATTTAAAAACATCTCGCAGTTATATTCATGTCCAAATACAACTTTAATTTTCAAATACATTTTCACTTGATTTTTTTTTTAAACTTTTTTTTTTTTTTTTGTACTTTTTTGGAGTTTCACAATTCTTATGTCCAAACGCCCACTTAGTAATATATTATAGTTTTCCTTTGGACAAAAAAAATCACTTTTAGTTGACAAAGCGACAGTGGTGGATGATCTATCAAAGAATTTTCAGAACATGATATGATCTGCATTCATTCACGAAACACTATATTTTAGTTAAATCACACTCCAAATGCATAAGTTGCAGTAGCTATGTGTTATATTGAGGTAATTTTATTTATGGTCATTAAACTTTTGTGTTTGTTACCCAAAAGTTACTTTTTTTTTTTGGTTACGTAAAAATCATTCAACTTTGTGTTCATTACACAAAAGTCACTTTTCTTTCTTTTGTTACACAAAAGTCATTTNTCACAAAAGTCACATTTTTACTTGAAAAGTCTATTATGCCATTAATATTATATAAGCCTTCATATTTATGTAATACCTTCTATATTATATACTATATAATATATTTTTAACTATGTATTTTATTTCTAAATAAAATAACTTAATATTATTCTATTTATTATTTTTATAATATATTCGTATATTTAATTTTTTTCTTAACGTTAATTTTCAAAATATATTAGTAGCGTTATTAAATTTGTCAGTAACTTTAATATATATTAGTAGAGAAATAAATCGGCAAGTACATTTCTGTGAGAAAATTCGTAGGTAAACAAACAAAGAAAATGAGGAAAAAATCATATGTTAATCTGAAGGAAAATCCCTAGGTAACCCTACATGCGAATTTAGCTGAGAATATTTTCTTGGGGATTTACCTGGGCAATTGGTTATTTGGGAAATTATACTACTAGAAGTTCGGGAAAAATCGTCCAAAAAAATCGACTAAAGTTGGTCGGTAATGGCCAATAATCGTCCAAAACGCGACCATTAACGTGTGGCTGGTATTTTGAAGGTCGGAAGGGCATATCGATCAAAGTTGGTCCGAAATTACCGACCAACTTTGGTCGGTCAATCAAATTCAAAAAAAGAATTGCTGAAAAAAGTTATTTTATAACGCTACTAATATATCTTGAAAATTAAAGTTAGAAAAAAATTAAATATGCGAATATATTATAAAATAATAAATAAAATGATATTAAGTTATTTTATTTATAAATAAAATATATAGGTAGAAATATATTATATAGTATATAATATAGAAGGTATTACATAAATATGAAGGTTTATATAATATCAAGGTCATAATAGACTTTTCAAGTAAAAATGTGACTTTTGTGATAACTAGAGCAAAGTAAAATGAATTTTGTATAACAAAAGAAAAAAAAAGTGACTTTTGTGTAATGAACACAAAGTTGAATGATTTTTTACGTAACAAAAAAAAGAAAAATAACTTTTGGGTAACAAACACAAAAATTCAATAACCATGTATAAAATTATCTATGTTATATTAAGAAATTGAGGGAAGATGTTCGTCACAAACTAAAAACTCTCAAACAAAAACAACGGAACATATGCCAAAGATTGCCACATCGGTTTGCCCGTTTTTGCTCAAATATCTTTAAGGTCAGGTCTTTGCTCAAATATCGCTTTGCCCTTTTAATAATATTTATTTTAAGAACAAAAAATGTTATTTTAATGCTTTACCTGAATATTTAAAATTCTTATTTAATTAATCCAAGTTCCGAAAGGAACAAGTTTCATGCGTGTTTTGAGGATTGCTTCACACCTTTTCCTAATTTAAAATCTTACATTATTATAACCTTAAAGAGTTAATACTAGATAGGAGTAATTCATTTATACATATCCTAAATCCTAATTCAGGTGACGACAATAATTAATTCGAGAATCAGCTACGTTGTATTCCGCTTCAACCCGGTTTATAATATTAGCCAAACACCCTCTTAAACCCTCAAAACCTTAACACAAAAGGCGCACAGTTCTGGTAATAGCAGGAACAACCTGAAAAGCTATCCATTCGAAGCAGGAACTGCAGGTAACTATGGCTTCAAACGCCTCAATTCTCACCCGCGGTTCTCTTTTATCGTTACGGTTCGTGGATTTCCCCCTAAAATCCACTTCACAACTCCGCGCTCAGACCCGAAGTCGATTTGGAAGGTCCTCTTCTGCGATTTCTTCTTCTGGCAAATACTGTGGGACCCAACTCGGTTCCTCTACTCATGGGCTGAAAAGCTTGCATCTTTCTGATATTGGGCCTAGACTGTTCGATTCTTGTAAGAATTTTCAGATGTCCGCGGTTTCAGGCGGTGGAGGTAGTGGTTATGGAGGCTCTGGTGATGGAAAATCCGGTGGTGGTGACGGTGGCAGTGACAGTGGCGCTGGCGGTGGTGGTGGGAGTAACTGGTCATTACTTGCCTGGTAATTCTATTGCCTGTTTTAGATTACAAGTTTTAAAAGTCTGTGTTCAGTCAAACAACATCACATAAATAGGAATGGAGGGAGTACTAAATATCTCCTTGAGTAAATAAGTTAGCCAAATGCTTGTAAGCATGTTAAGTACTACTAGCATTTTTTATGCTATGGGTTGTTTTGAAGGATATTTTACTGCTTGTCACAGATAAGACTGAAAAAGTGATAAACCATTTATAGCTTGAAAAAAAAGAGCATAATTATTGCATATGAAGCTATCAGTGCCAGCACGTATGCTACCTGCTTGACATCTTTATTCAGTGGTTATTCTCTCTTTCCTTTTTCTTTTCATTAAAGGCTTGCTGTGTCTCTCCACCATTTCTATTGCTTTAAGATTAATATATACTCTACAACAACAACAATCATGCCTCAGTTACAAACAAGTTGGGGTCGCCTATATGAATCGTTGCCTATTATGAATTTGCTCATATAAAGGAGGGGGATTTTGGTAGGCTGAATCCTAAGAATAAAGGATATTATATATCTAGCTTATTTTTGAAAACGGAATAGTAATATATATACATCTGATAAAAAAGAATATATATACAATACTATAAAGCTTCATTTTTCTTGTAAGTCATATGTTGACAATGTTGTTAACTGTACCATTGTGGCCCGAGAATAATTATTTCTTCTGCTGTAGGTACTTATCTCTTCTTGAGAAGTATCCAGTATGGACAAAAGCAGTTACATCTGCACTGTTGACACTTTCTGGAGATCTAATCTGTCAGGTAAACTCAGTAAAATGAAATTCAAGCTTCAAGAATCGGTAGAGTCTGTTGGGGATACACTCTTTTTTCATACTGTGCTTGTCAATGCTAGTGTATGTTTTCTCTGTTGATGCAGAAGTTACAACATTTTGCAAGTCAGAGATTCCGAATTGTTTAACAAGTATTAGTTGTTAATTTCTAACACCTGATGAAGTAAGCTTATAATGAACTCTATTTCCTTAATCATTAAATATATTCTTTGGTACGTGGTTTTGGATTAACAATGTCAAATGTTTATTCTACTTTATGGTTAACATCGTGATAACTTGTCATGTGTAGTTATGGTATTCCTTCTATGGTAAGGATTTTGGTGTTTGAGATGGTAATTCCTAAGTTGATGCTAATCAGATATTTTCTGGTTTGAAAGAACGGAAGAGAAAGAAGCAGAGGAAGGGGGCAAGCGTAAAACTTTCTTTTTTGAAAATGATTTTAGAGAGAGAAAGGAAAGGAAAGGGAGATAAAAGGATGGATAGAATGATGAAGGAAACATCAAGTTTTTATGTCCAAATGTGTATTGATCTTGTGGATTGAAAGAAAGGGAGGAAAGGAGCGGGATGGCTGCAGTTCTTTTTTTGAATTGATTATAGGGAGAGAAAGGAAGGAAAAAGGATGCATTGGGTCATGAATGATACACCAAGTTCCTTTTCTGTACAAATGTGGGGAAGGCAAACCTCCTTGATGAAATTCTGTAATGTCATAAAAGACAGTAGGCATTATGAACCATATAATCATTATATTAGTTTTATTCAGTGTCTAATCACACTCCTTCCTCCCTTTCTCTCCATCAATTTGAAAAACAAATTCCTTCTCACTTTCCTTCTTACTGTGCAAAGCGTCAGCAACTCTTTAAATTAGTGATACCATCTTTTCCCTCTTTGAAATATATTCTCTTTGCGATGATTTCAAGCTATTTTTTCCATTTCCTTCACCTTTTAATTGCTGGCTATGTGTCACAGCTGTGGATTGACCAAGTAGCATCTGTGGATGTAAAGAGGACGTTTATATTCACATTATTGGGGCTGGTCTTGGTGGGTCCATCTTTGCACTTTTGGTAATATCTTCACAGCCCATTATCATTTCCTCTCTATACAGCTCTGAATCTGCTTGTACAACTTGTATTTTGGTCTGTGTATCTCAACCTTCTACTGAAGCTGGTGTTGTTATTATGTTATTTACTGCATACTGATTGCCTCATCTGCTGGAGACCTGTCTTTCTAACCCAGTACTTAAACTGGGAATACAAAAATAGAAGATGCTCCTTGTTTGTTTGTAGCTTTTTTATCTTCACGTAATGATTTTTAAGTGTTTGCTATATCAATTCAGTGGACGATATGTAAAGTAATCCGATTTTCGTCGGTAGGTTTAAATGATACTAACTGCCGGTATATCACTGTATTTTATGATGGAAAAAGGTTGAGGGTAGTTCTAGATCTTCAATTTTGTTTCTGCTGATCAATTTAAATTTTACGTGCAATCATAAAAGCTGATTTGTATTTGTTGTTAATGAGCTTGGTTTTTAAAACTTATGCAGGATTATCTACTGAGTATTGTTTAAATATCATTTAGCTCATTGCCTTGCTAAAAAATATAGAAGAATTAAGCTAAATAGCTGTCCACCAAACCGCTTAGACTGAAAATAGCTGGCAGATGCATAATATATGTATAACCATGTATAAGTGTGTAATCTATGAATACCAGCTACCAAAAGTAAACGGTGAATCCGGCCAACTATTTGGGTAAAGATCCTAAAAATATTATGTATCTACCAGATATGGGTGAATATCTTGTTTGTTTGGTGAATGCCTAGGGGTAGAATTTTCCTAATGGCATTGTAGAATAGCTCCTCGTGTTCTGACTCTGATATATGTAGGTACCTCTACTTGAGTAGATTGGTCACAACTCCAGGGGCCTCTGGTGCTGTCATGCGCCTTGTACTAGATCAGGTTTTCCTTCTTTTTCATTTAGTGATAATGTCTTACTTACTGGAGTAACTACTGCCTTCTGAATGATATCGCCATTGAATTTGAGCTGCTTTGATACAGTTCCTTTTTGCTCCAATTTTTGTTGGGGTTTTCTTATCCTCTTTGGTAACACTTGAGGGAAGGTCATCACAAGTGATTCCAAAGCTTCAACAGGTATTCTAAATGGCTTTCTTTTCATACTTCTCACTGGAATGGACCTTTGAATAGATGCTTACTGATAATTTCTCTTCCTGAACTTCGATTCACATTTTAATTTTTTTTTCTAAATTAAGGAGTGGTTCTCATCTGTCCTTGCAAATTGGCAACTCTGGATACCTTTCCAATTTATCAACTTCCGGTTTGTACCTCAGCAATTTCAGGTTAGTGAAACAGTCAATTTCATCAGTTTGTTTGGTTATGAGCATGCCTTCCTGTCAACCTTTAGTAGTTTGGAGACATTTTCTTCAAAATGTTGATCTATTGTCATGAATTGGCAAAAATGCCCAATCATTCATGTAAAGAATTAGCCAAAATAACTAACATAAAGCCGGATTAGCAATTTAAGCTATACTTGTAGTGTTTTGGGGTGTGCAGACTCCGCCAAACTACAGTATTGGAGATTCAGTTGGTTGTTTTAGCAATACTGCGAAGAACTCGTCACCTGAACCTCTTTTTCGATCACTCTTGAGTCTTGATTATTGTGATACATTATGCTAAGCGTGCATATAAGTTGTAGTCATGCCTTTACAGCCTTTAATTCTCTAATTGGGAGCAAATGTCTGTTTGCAATTACTACTATTTACGTGCAGTTTATTTCTTGTGTTCAGATTTATTTACATGTTTGTATACTGCTGTAACCAACCGGACTGTTCTATTCTCTCTTCTGTTGTTGCAGGTCCTTGCTGCTAACTTCATCGCTTTAGTGTGGAATGTCATACTGTCATATAAAGCCCACAAAGAAGTTATTGTGAAATAGGTATACATAGGAATGGATAATTATTTGCTTATCGGAGAAAAAGTAAACAAAAAAACTGTTTGTTAGAAGTATCAGAAGAAGTAAATTATATTTGTCAGATATACGTATTGCCTGAGATTTGAACACGCGGTATGGTTGGTTGGTTAGTCAATGTGATTTGATACGCGGGTTTATAACAGAAGAAACACCCGAGGTGCTTCCCCTCCCTGGAGAAGAATGTTGTGCAATTGTTATATGCCCCGCGGCCTTCTCCAACTCCATCTAATAGTGACTGTTCTTTCACTTCTTTGGATTAGCAGAGGTATGCGCAAACTCCTTTAGAAATAGGAAGTAAATTTAGTATCATTTTTTCTTGTTTAGAATGGTTGATTTTTTAAAAGAGAATAAAGCTGAAGAAATTAAAAATTGGAGGCAACATGTCACACAAAAGAGGATTTTTGCTTGTGCTTCAGTACCCTGTGTTGATTCAAGTTAACAATGAGAAACTTTATTGTTTTTCATCACAATGAGAAAGTAATAAAGCCAAAAAAAAAAAGGTCCAGCCTGATCGTAGATTATTAAAGAATGGGAAAGTTACATTGTATAATTGCTCTCAAAATAAGAGCCGAAAAATATATGTTTGTTATAAATAGAATTGTATTTACGGTGAATATCTATATTTAGAGAGATTTTAGGGTTCATTGCTTGGTGGCTAAGTCACCCTCTCCCTATAAATAGAGGGTTTTATTCCATTGTAATTCATCCCAAATCAATAAGAATTCTCTCTCGCTACTTTTCTCTGCAATATTCTTCTTCTTCTTTTATTGTTCATAACACGTTATCAGCACGAGACTTTAACCAATTGAGTAGAAGCTTTGGGATTGAGCATAATGATTGTCAATTATTTCATGAACTTCCTTCATGATTAAATTTTGGATTTAAGGTAAGTATTTTACCGTATTTTTCTCTTTTATTCTATACTTTGATTTTAGATACAAGCAAAGATAACAAAGTTTGATTATAACTCTAATGGAGTTTGTAAGAAATTATAACCACCTGAAGTGGTAAAATTTCTATGCCTCGCCATGATCAAATTCATGTATGATTGTGGGCAAAGAATTGAAAACCCGTCCCATTGAATTTGTTCCATTCTCATTCCCTTAAGAGAACGTGATAACAGTATGTGATAAGTCTGAAAAAAGACAAAATTATTACTATGAATGTATTAATGGATATGGACGTGGCAATAGACGAAATTATAATCGTCATCATTTGTGGTAATGAGAACAATAAGGATTCTCAAAATAATCTTTCACTCTGTGAAAAATATTTGTCATCGATTTGACATGAGATTTTGTAAAGCACATATAGATGATTATGGTCCATTCATGATGTGAATGTGACAACATCTGATTTATGAATACATATTCATTCTTGGAAGAATATGAACGCGCTAGTGGTAGTGAATATACCATGCACTCACCTCTAGAAGGAGGTTTGAGATGATATAAGAAAATAATGTCATTATTATGGCATGAATAATCATTGGTCACGTACCTATTGCATGCTAAAATATTTTGGTAATGTGATTATTAAAGAATAACATTAATGCAAAAAACATATCTTGCATATAATTTTGACTATAACCATAATGGTATAACTTTCTCTTTAAAAGAGATATTCAACATATGGATGTTGATGAATATGTGGTAGTACCAAATTAATTGAGAGCTCTGGAAGAGCCAATTGTTGCTATTTTGGAGAAACACAATTGATTACCAATAAGGTATTGTGTTGTAGTAAGTCTCAAAGAAACTTATTCAGTTTCCAAAGTATACGCGAAAGCGGTTGATTATATTGAGACTATAAATAAAGGAAAGATTTAATATCTTCTATTATTACAACTTGTAGCGGGATAATATGTATGTGAAAAGCTACATGCTTTATTCTCCAGTTTGTACTACACAAATAAAAGAATACCACAATAAAGTAGAAGTTTATTGATATAAAACCCATATCATAATAAACTTGGAGTTTATTGATATCCAGTTGGCATAGCTGGTTTAGCCATATCAATTTAAGTTTGATGTGCAAAAATAAAAGAGGATTCACATGGGTAAATATTAAAGAACTAGAAAGTTCTTTACGAATTCTCTTATGTTGCTTGTTCTTATTAATTAATAGACCAACTAAAATTGGGATTGAATTCCATGAATGCTGAAAATATCAAAGGTGAATATGGGCCCATTTACCTGCCATGTATACCACATAAGATGTATCTATGAGATGGTTACATGTGCGATTATTATTAACCCACAACCTGGTGTTTGTGACGTAACTTGCTCAATAGTTTAATTTCGAGCATTTTTTCCAGATTTTCTATTCAAGAAGTTCATCTTGATAAGTTGGTTTACATCACAGTTGGTTTAGCAAAATGATTTATTAAGTGCCTCCACTTAATAGCTAAACAATTGCTTATGAGAACAAAGTTATCTATATCAGTTTGATATACGTTATATTTCAAAGTATATTATTTTCTCCCCCCACACATGGTTCAGGGTCAGGAACCAAATGATTTCATCTTATTATTATTGATGTGCGGTGTATATTTTGATTACAAAGATGAGTTTCCAAAATTGAGAAGAAAGTTTATTTTCTAACATGAGTGGGAGACATGATAAACAGTTGAGAAAAAGTGACGCGGAATGAATTATCATTTGTACATCTAAATCCTCGAATAAGATAATATGAACTTGAAGTTCATAAAAGGATAATTCGTTTGCAATATATTGCAAAGCATGCCAGACGCATTTGCTGGCCCAAAGAAAGTAACTATATTATCATTGCAAATGCTCCTATTAAGTCCTAGAAGGATAAAGTCTATGGTACCCTTAAAGCGTATAGACAAATCGGTTTCAAATAAACTTCTTGATAAAGAAGATGAGCAAATGATCAAAATGATCATAAATTAGGAGGCAAGTGATCTAGAAGATCACATGACATAACACTTCATAAAATCTCATGAGAGATTCAGGTACCTGAAAATATGAATGAAGAGATCTCTATGTTATGTCTTTATGAAAAATAGGGAGGTTGGAACCGATATAAAATGTTCGTCGACGACATCTATCATAGCGCTAAGTATAGATGAGGATCTTAAGTATGTCGAATACAGATACAAAAATATTAGCCAAAATGGAAGAGAAACAATTCAAGTAGAATTTGGTTTCATATGAAAGACATGTAGTTTTGAACATGTAGTTCAAACACTTGAAAGTATAAAGTCAATGGTATGTGCAATCAATTTTCAATATCTTATATGTCTAGCATGACATGAAAACTTGATATGCATCTAAAGTCTATTATATGACTTATATGACTTATATGACAATCCATGAAGGATTTAAGTTGCTTGAAGCATATACAATTCTTGATCTTGAAGTACCACATCCTCAGTGCAATTTGTGCATATATATATCTTGCTATAACTATATGCATGATAATATGATAGCAAGAGTTTTCACCTCTATGTGAAGATATTGAACTGACGATTCCAACAAGATCATATGAAAACAATTCATCTCTATCAAGAATGATGATTCAATGTGCAATATATTCATTCAAGTTAATATGCCTGATTTGTTCATCAAATCTCTACCAAAGATCTTTTGAAGATGGTGCACAAGATTGGAATGCAAATGCTCAAGGATGTGAATTGATGCTCTCATCAGGGGGAGTTAATACGCGTTGTACTCTTTTTTCCTTACAAGGTTTTGTCCCACTGGGTTTTCTTGCAAGGTTTTTAGCGAGGCAACCAAAAGGCGTATTGTTAGATATGTGTACTCTTTTTCCTTTTCTAGAATTTTTTTTTCACTGGGTTTTATTTTAGTTAAGGTTTTAACGAGGCACATTATCTGTTGAATAGACATTCAAGGTGGAGTGTTATAACTAGAATTGTTATTATGGCGAATATCTATATAGAGAGAGATTTTAGGGTTCATTGCTTGGTGGCTAAGTCACCCTCTCCCTATAAATAGAGGGTTCTATTCCATTGTAATTCATGCCAAATCAATAAGAATTCTCTCTCGCTACTTTTCTCTGCAATATTCTTCTTCTTCTTCTTCTTTTATTGTTCATAATAATGTTAATTTTATATATTTTTGCGGCTACCGGTGTACATAGTTTCGGCCGTGGGTTAAACGCGATTTTTGCCCGTAAAGAATACAGGGTAACGGATAAGAAATACTCGGGTTTAGACGGTTAGCCCGAGCAAATTGCAAAAGCTAATAAAATTCCTAAAGTTCGATTTGAAGGTTAATATAATGGCACGTTTATGGGCATCTTGGTTAGTTAATCGCAATTTAAACTTTGTTCCAAGTGTGAAACATCTTTCTTACTGTATTAAAATTAAACCAAAATAATTAAATGTCTTAAACAAAGCCACAAATATACGAAATTAAGAAAAATATAAAGGTTAAAGAAAAGATTGTGAAAAACCAAACATTATCTAAAATCCAACCGGGCGCAACTTTTCGGTCGTTGCTATAAATGGTATAACTGCAATTAACCGACTTTTGGATTTTCAAATGTCTCAATGTTCCATCATTTCTAATGGGAAACAAGAAGAAAAAGGAACAAAACAAAGTGACACCAAAAGTCAGATAACTCTAATATATCATATTTTCTTTTTGTGTGTGTGTAGATATAGAATTTATTTTCAAGTAGAGAAAACTATGAGATTTTATTAATTGTCATGATCGGTACAGGTTGTGGAAGTAGAGTTTAAAATTTCAATGTATTGCGAGGGATGTGAAAAACAAGTTGCCAAAGCCATTTCCAAAATCAAAGGTAAAGCCCTCGTTAAACAAATTAAACTATTTTTTACATTAATACTGATTTTAATTAGTTACGATACTCTTTTTTCTTCTTCTTCTTTTTCCTATTAGGGGTTGAAGAATTCATGACGGATATGAACAAACACAAGGTGGTAGTGAAGGGTCGAATCAATGCAGATAAAATGATGAAGAAACTAAAGAAGAAAACTGGAAAGAGAGTAGAAATGGTGACTAAAAAAGAAGAGAATAAGAAGAAGGGTGAAGAAAAAGAAGGAGATTTGTCATCATTTGAAGCAATTAATTCAAGACAAGTTGCAGATGCTTTGATTATTGAATTTACTGGAGATAGTATGTTATATACCATGTTTAGCGATGAGAATGCAAATGCATGTTCGATTATGTAAATATGTTCTATTTGGACAAAACTAATTTTTTCTCTAGACATTATTAGGGTTCATTATATACACGATCTCTTAATTCTGTCCAGAAGGTTGACATCACAATTCACATCACTCATAATTCGGAGAAAAATGTGTAAAGTCACATGCTTAATCTAACTTTCTCTGTAGTTTTTTGTTCTCTTCTTTTCATATGGTGTTTGGTACCCATATTAAAACTCTGACTAATTCGAAGTCGCGCCTCGCTAGGCCTATTAAAGAGGAAATGGCTCCTCTCTAAGGGTTTTCCAAAGTTTGTATCACTCGGTAAGTTTAGAAATGTGTAAAGTTGTTGTAATCCAACTTGTGCAACCAGAAATCACTTTTCAATTGATTGTATTTACAATTTGGTTAAATTTTTTTCAATATACTTCCTAGATCTTTTTTACATTTTAGTAATACAGTTCCAGGCTATATATATCTTTACATGCATCCTCCTTTTTTAGAATTTTTACAGAGGCAACTAGTTCATTAAAAGGAATAATAATCATTTGGACGAGGGCCAAGTTGGTATAGAAAAATATGGAGTCACAGAAAAATACTACAATATCCTTCATTTTTTTTTTACCCTTATGGTGGTACGTCACAAATGTGTGAAAAGTACTACTCTATTCAACTTTTACGAATTTTAAAATTGTTAATGTATTAAACTTTGGCAGCAATTTTTATTAGCGATGTATATAACTTAAATTCTATAATCATATAGGAACAACCTAGAAAGCAGTTATAGGTCTCACAGAACCATTTACATAAAATGAGGACGCCCCTTTGCAATGATTAATGCTGAAAACAATTGCTAGTAAACTAATTGCAACAATATATATTACAACCTAGAAAATGGAAAAATGAACAGAAACTAAAGGTACACGCCACTCTCAGATTATATCAAGGATCTTACAATTTTGACCCAAAATATTCAAAGATCCATTATGCGAGAAGCTTATTGTATACAAGTACTTTAGATAAGCTCCACAAACACGTGAAGAAGAAACGAAGACGAAAATCGAGAGACCATTTTTTTTTTTTTTTTTTTTTGGAATTTCTGTCTATATATCAATCCATGGATCTAGTAAGTTTGTTGCCTAATTTAATATTCTTTTAACCCCTTGCTTGCCTAAGAGATGATGCATTCATTTAAATAAGCTGAAAGGAGTTAAATTACCTAAGAGATGATGCATTCCTTGGTAATTCGGAGCTTGTTCAATCTTATTTGTTGTTTGCTTAACTAATTCTACACTTAATTAAGGATACGATTTAAATAATATCACAACCGACAACCTTCCGTTTAATTTATATATTGATCATGAGAACCCAAAAACGTGTTTCTTTGACAGGTCTTGGCATGTGATTACAGGAACATAATATTCGTTGGTCGGACCAAAGTTTTGTTAGAAAAATAATGGAATGAAATAATTTGGTTCGGTAGTCTAATCATTATGCTCGACGAATTTAAGCTTCCCACTTTGTTGTTATCGGAAAAATAGTAGATTTTTTTCAGGATTTTACAAAGCATTTGAAATTTGAGTTTCAATAATTAACTCAAAATTTCCCACAAGAACATTATATTGCGAGTTGTAAAAAATAAGAAGAGAAAGAGATGGAAAGTTTCAGATATCTTTCGTTTTGGAAATGATATGGGCATTTATAATACCTCTAGAAGTCTGTTAGAATTAATAGATTCATCTCTTTATAAAAGGCACCTTTTTAAAACCGATAGTCACATTTTCAATTTAAAAGAAAAATGTTAAAATGTTTTTATAAAATTTAATTAAAAAATATTTTTATTTAATTAATAAAATAATAGATGACTAAAATATTAATTTCGGACTATTAGTAATATAGTCAAATTCTAATTTTCATCCAAAACATCTTTAACAATATTCAAATTATATAAAACAAAGAAGTGCTTTTAAACACTTCTTCCTTCCTTTCCTTTTCCAATGAAGGACAACAATCTTTTTTCAAATACTCACATCAAACACTAAGCTAGCGTTTGGCCATAGATTCCTAAATTTATTTTGAAAAATCTGATTTGGGTGAAGTTTGGTTTGAAGAAGAAAATGTGTTTGGACATCACTTTTCAAAACATATTTCACTTTTTTTTTGAAAAAACATAAAACATGACTTGTCGCGCCCCGTTTTCTCGCGAAAGCGGGTTTCGACGCCGTGACAACTCCTTTGGATGGGAGATAGAGTATCAAAAAGGAGAAGAGTCTCCACCTAACAATTTTTAAGGTGCGTTAGGGCACCTATTATGCAGATAACTCTGTTTGACTAGTCAGCGCCATCAAAGATCGGGTAAGGGCTTAAATTACCTCAAAGAGAAGGTGTTAGGCACTCCTCGAGGTCCACAACTGTGGGTCCCGACCGAACTTAAGATTATGTGGATTATAATTAGGCTAAGTGATCAAATGAACAAAGAGAATATAAAGGTCAAAGAATTTCAATACAACAGGATTAGTACGGTTCTTAGTACGAATGCAACTACTTAGATCTAATAGCAACACATAAGGGGGGGGGATACTAAGTTTTTTAGCCTAAAGGATCACCCCGTGAAACATAAATAATACTTCGCAACTCCCTTGAGGTAGGGAGTTACTCATATTATTAAGCGGGCACAGACTATCATCTTCTGCTACCCGATTACTATGTTAAAGTTCTATACCTGAAGCACACTAATTAATTCTAAGTCGTGCTCTATGCGTGCACTACCCGTCCCATACCTACGGTCCAGGAGGTATTGGACCTCTATTTGAATGGTTCTAGACCTTACTTAGGCTGCTCAGAAATGTCAAAACTAGGCGACATACAAAAAATATTTGGACTTCAAATATGGGCAGTTAAAGGCTCAAGTTAGCCTCCACACTTAAGAAACAAACGGATGCGAAACAAGTTTTCATGTTAAGCACTTTCAGAATTAAGAACCTTAAGCATTATAGACATGATTTCTATGTAACTTTGAATTAAAACATACAGGCAGTTTCAGATGCAAGGTGCCGCTTATGGGCAGGATTATACAGTTATTACAGGCTGATTATTAAAATTACATGCTTCCAGTTATTAAACCTGTTGTGTCTAGGTGACTTACGCAGTAAGGAGTAATGAAAACTATTGGGGAAGGCCCATAATTACTTATGCTTGCTGACAACGACATAAATAAGCAGTAAACAGTGTTTGAGAGGTTCAACATTAATATTTTAAGGCAAGCAGTAATACCCTATAGGCAGGATCTCTAACAATGGGTGATTGAAACCAATTTTATTATGATTAGCCCCCTATAGACATATTTTTCTAAGTGAGCATTATGATACAATAGCAAATGGGATAATTAAAATCTTATAGGCGTGATTTTTAGTGGATGTGCTGCAGTTGTGCGAATTGAAGAAAGTTCAGTGATATTTGTTTCCTGTAGGTCTAGTAACATGTAACAATAGGAATAGTGGAAGCATTTGAACTCATGTTTTGCTAGCAGATGAGTAGTGTGGGTGTGTCCTTCTCCTAATGACATAATTTCTACAGTGCACATAGAGATTGAACGACATATATAGCAAGTAAATCATTTAATTCTATAGGCACGTTTTCTACACTTGCATACAAATATCATAATCTACCCATTCCCCATTTACTAACACCCAAGTTGTTATTTAAAAAGTTATTACAAACCCAATAATAAATGTAATACACAAATAATGACAGTAGGCCCCAAAATAAATACCCAGCATTGCCTGGGCCTTCAACAATTCTCATGTAGCATACCCAGGAACCATATTCATCAGCACAACCCAGAATCCATAGAAGAATTTAAGACAAATCACACAACTATAGATTGACCAACCAATTTACATATTCAGTAGACAATAGGAAGAAAGAGTTAAAGTGTCAGGAATAGTTCAGGTCTCAGTAGTAGAGGGAGTGGCTAAGGGACCCCAAATCCTAGTGTTTCACAGTTCACAAAGGTCTCAAATGGACCCCGAGCAATTCTCACACTAGGGAGGTCAGTAGTAAGAGCCTTGGTGGCCTTGGCTTTCAGCCGGCCAAGAATGATAGGTTCAGAATAACATAGGTAATAAATGAGAGAGAGTGGACAATGGTTAAGGGACAAAAGTTGAGGAAGTACACTTAAAGTTTAAAGTAGACATAGAAAAGTTGGAACACAGAGAAGCTAATCAAGCAGGTCACAAGAATTAGAAGCAGGTTCAGCAAGACTTAGAAGCAAGTTCAACACTTAGCCAGATAACACATAGGCAGTCACATATTGTAAGAGTTAAGGGAGAAACCAGTTTGCAGGATTAACAAAGATTATCATACACAAGTGCATAATACCAAACAAGTTGAAACCTAAAAGGTCTAAATTATGCTAAGTATACATCCCAGTGTCATAAGACAAGCATGTTAACTATCATCAGGAAAGAAAACAACATTTAGACATGATAGGGGAACACAAATTGTGACAAGTCAAAAGGAACAGAGAACCAAGTCAGCCAAAGACATGCTGAGGGACATATCAGCAGGGAAGCAAAATCATAATTAATAGAAAAGGTCTTAACACAGATTAGAACACATTACATATGTAAGATAATCATCGTAGAGATTCAGAACAGAGAGGGAAAGTAAACTATTGACCAATAGACTAATTAACTAAAGAAGGTCCAAGTTATGCTAGGGATTCATCATAATATCATGAAACAAAACAATTCAAACATGGTAGGGGAAACACAAGTTGAGATAACTGTTCTAAAATCTCAAGTAATCACTAAAGGGATATGGAACCAAGTGAGCCAAAGACATGCTAAGTGACACATAGGTTATATTACAGATGTGAGATATTCATTACAAAGATTAAGGACAACAAGTAAAGTAGGCTCATGTCAAATAGCAAATATAGACATTCAGACATCAATGCAGTAGACTGATACGAACTTAAGAGAGTCTAAATTATTCAGGTGAAGCATGTTCAAGTAGAATATATAAGAATTGGCAGCTGTTAGGTGGAACTAAACACGGGTTCAAAACAAGTGTGAAACTGAGAAGGCCACGCACAGAAGTAACCTAGAACATATTGGCTAAACGGACTTAAGAGAGTCCATTA